TATCTTTGTGGTTCCTTGTATGAGAGAACCCATGCAATAGTTACGCTTGTGTGTCTGATTTATTGCACTTCGCATTATGGTTTCAGGGTGCATCCATGCCCTACAAATGGCTCCACCCTGTCCTTCTTTATGGCAGAGAAGTGCTCTTTGGTGTGGAAATGCCTCACTTTTTGTCTTTTCACCTGTTGGTAGACATATAGGTCACTTCTGAGGTTTACCTGTTGTGAAGGGTGCTGCCGTAAACACTGATGTGAGTGGGCCACTATAATGTGATGATTTTAACTCTTCCAGGCAGACACAGAGGAGCAGAACAGTTGAGCTGAATGGAATCTCTTGTTTTAATTTTTTGAGAAGTCTCCATTCGGATTTCCAAGGTGGTCGCACTAGGCTTCACACCCACCAGCAATGAGGAAGGGTTTATTTTGCCCCCAGTGTCACCAGTACTTGTGTTGCCTGATTTCTTGGTGATGGCCATTCCTTCTGGGGCAAGCTGGAATCTCAGAGTTGCTTTTATTTACATTTCTCTATTAGCCAGAGATATGGAGTATATCTTTAGGTATTTATTGGGCATTTGTTCTTCCTCTCTTGAGAAGTATCTGCTCATTTCAGTTTGTCATATTTTGAGTTTGTCTTTTATTTAGGTAGATCTAACTCTTTGAGTTCTATATATACCTTAGATATTAGTTCTTTGACAGATAGCTGGCAAAAATTTTACCATTGTTTTATAGTTTACTTCAATAGATTTTTTCAAATAATTAAAAATCTAAAACCTATGTAACTTTTATACCTAAAACACTGAATGGAGGGTCAGCCAAATAGCTCAGCAGATTAAAGTGCCTGCAAGCAGGCACAGGGGTTGGGGGTTCGATCCCCGGGCCTGCCATGCCTGCCCCGCCCGGGGGGTGCACTGAGAGAGCAATTGAGACTGGGCATGGTGGCATGCACTTGTAATCCCAGCTCTTGGGAGGCTGTAAACAGGCGGATCACTACAAGTCTGATCTAGTAGTGAGAACTTGAGCACCCTATAGACCCTTCCCTAAAAAGAAAATACCAAAAAAACCACTATTGTATGACATATACCTCTTTCATGAAATAATAGAATACTAGCGACCATTTATTAGTTGTCTTTGTGTGTGTGTGTGTGTGTGTGTGTGTGTGTGTGTGTAGCAAGGATTTTACATATACTTGTTCACTTATCCCCATCTCTCCATAAGAAGCCAAGGGTAAAGTGGAGGTGTTTAAGACAGCACAGGTAATAAATAACAGAGGAACGACGTGAAGCTAAGCCAGTTGCCTCACAAATCAGACTAGACACATTCAAAGTACTCTAATTTAACTTTTGTATTTTGTGGGACAGAGTAAATGAGTGTATCAGGGGCTCATGCATTGTAATGAAATCGGAACAAGGCACTGTTGAGCAATTGTGCCTACACAGAACATATTGTGAGCCAGGCGTGGTGGAGCATGACTGTAATCCCAGCACTGGGGAGGCTGAGGCAGGAGGTTTAATGTGAGTCTGAGGCCAACCTGGGCTATAAAATGAGCTCAAGACCAGCCTGAACTGTACAGGGAGACCTTGCCTCAAAAAAAAAAAAAAAAAAAAAAAGGATAGGATATATTTTGAAATATTCCTACTGTACTGTTCCAAGTATTCTTTTCTGAGCCTTAGAAGATTCTCAGTGCATCTTAAACAGATGAACTTGTGTACAAGGCAGACAAATGATTGGTTAGGCAGATCTGTTTATAATGGTACTTTGATAGGTGTTAGAGGAAAAAATAACACTACAGCCAACTGGTTTCTTCTTAGAGAATAAAATGAATACTGAGATAAGTCTTAAAGGAGTGTGCATATAAATAAGAAATTAAGGAAAATTGTTTTTTATAGAATTTTTTTTCATTCAAAATAATTAACTCAAAGATCTGCTAAGCTCCTGCAATGGGAGTGTATGTAACAGATGCTAGAATTAGCAGCATGAATAAAGTGCACACGTGCACACACACACACACACACACACACAAATGCATGCACACTTTCACACTTCTACTCTTAGAGTTTACATGCTAATATTAGTGTGCTTGTTGGTGAGGTGATAGTGAGAAAAATAAAGACTAGGCATTATCGAAGTAATGTACATCATAACTGGAACAAGAACAAGAAATTGTACATGTACTTAGTTCATTGGCTCTGCCTGAATTGGTATCTTTCTAAAAGGTTACAAGCTTTAAAAAGGACAAAACCTTCTAAGAGACTTGGATGTCTCAAAGTCTCTGTAGCATAAGGAAAAGTCAAATTTCCTCATGAAAAGATGAGTACTTTGGCAATGGTTCATAAAATTCAGTGATGAGTAACATAACTCACCCTGCCTTTGAAAAACTAATAAAATTCTAAGTTGATGCTAAACGCCCACTGACCCGGGGTGACATATAGACACCAGGCCCACACTGGTGCAGCTCCGTCCAGTTTGGTCGCCTCAGCTAGCTCTGCAGCCGCCCAGGCCCCTCTTGGGCGCCCCAGACAGGAGAGTTAATCAGGTCTGATTTGCGAACAGCAGCGGCTCCCTCGCCCTCCCTGCCCCCTTTGGCCGGGATCCTACTTTCCTGCTTAGCGGCACAGATGCAGCTTTGAGCTGACGGGTCGGCAGCTATTAGCAGCCAGCCCAGGGAGGGAAATTAATGAAGGGACCACTAATAAAAGACAGCTCAGGACAGGCAGGCTAACTTGCTCCGAGCAGTAATTAACTTTTTTTTTTAGTTCATGAAGGTAAATATGCCATCGGCCCTAGTCCAGTCTAACTCTTCTTTATTAAAAAGAACAGAGCTATTCATGGGGAGCTGAGAGTTAATTTGGTTTTCCCCCAAGAACTATTTTAAATCACTGTGTGATTTGTTTGTAGCTCTGTGATGGCCAAAGGAAGAGACACCTGCAAAAATCAGGGATGAAGGAGGAGCATGAAAGATGGGAGTATCGGAATAGAAGAACTCATTGTCCTCTTCCTGGAAGCCACTTAAAATGATAGAAATCCTTTCTAAGGATTTGCCTGTACTCCCCACCTGACCACAGCAGAGGAGGGAGAGTGCGACTGAATCGAAGGCACATAGCAAATCTTAGACATCAGCTCAGGGGACAGTGGGGATGCTGTCCTCAAGCTCTTAGTTTTCATTGTTAAAGACAGAAAAGACAACTTGAAATTGCTTTCTCTGTGTATTGTTCAAAATCAATGTGCATTTCTTGAAAAATAAAATATTTCTGAAAATAGAGGCAGAGGAGAATGAGCTTCCATTTCCACCACCACCACCCAAAAAAGTCTAAAAATAGTATCAACATAAAACTGTAACATTTCAAGCCAGTAGTGGTAGCACATGTCTGTAATTCAAGCACTCAGGAGGCTAAGGCAGGAGGATCGGCCATGAATTTGAGGCCAGCTTGGGCTATGTAGTGAGTTAAAGCTCAGCTGAACTGCATAGCAAGGCCCTGATTAAAAAATATAAAATGAGGGGGCCTGCCCCTTAGCTCAGTTCTTTAAGTGACTGCTTCAACAAAGCAGTCAGGCTCAGGTTGCTGTGGTTCGATCCCCACAACTCAAG